AACTGGGAATATTACAATTACAAGGAATTAAAAATAAAGTACAATCTTATAATTAGAGCTCTCCATCGTTAATCAACCATTTTTTTTATAAAAAAAAAAAGTAGTTTAGCAATAAGGGTATTATTATAAATTTTAGGCCAAAATACCAATGAGACAAAGGAGTTCTAATTCTAATTAGAAGACATCAACCAATTGACACTTTTTCAAGCAACTATCATGCACTTCAAGCAAATTTCCAAGAAACATTTTTTCTCATTTAGCAACTAACTTTGGGGTTTCGAGCATCAAACAACAAAACGAAATTAGGAACTTTAATGCATGAACTTTGATAGGTTGAATGGTATGTGGAAGGATATCACTAAGGCTGTGAAAACCTACATATGCACTAAGTCGAATCAATAATTTTACACAGAAAACGATAAATGATAAAAAACTAGAAATACAAAGTTACAACTGAGCAATATATTATTTTTTTTATTCTATTTTACAAGCTGATCATACCTAGAAAAATTACCACAATGGTCATTTTGATGAACCAGGCTAAAATTGACCTAAATAGTCAAAATAACATAAATGGCCCAGAAATGAAAGTTTATACCAGAATTCGGAAGTTTTAAATATAACTTGAAATACAACGTTACAAACGAGAAAAATATTGTTTTTATTTATTCTTTTACAAGCCGATCATACCTAGAAATATGACCACAATTGTCATTTTGATGAACACGCCAATAGGGAACACTGGAATTAATACAAACTTTCTTCATTTATTTTCAACTTAATAGAAAAACTAAAATTACAATATTATAACTTGTAGGGGTTTTCAATGTACAATGCCTTAAATAAAAGCTCTTCAATGGGTAGAAACGCCTCTTCATATTCTTTACTTAGAGAATCTATTTCCATCGTAAAAAATGGTTATTAGTTATTAGATTCACTATATCGAAACCAAGTAACCATCCCAACCCATTTGCATATACACACTCCATCATAAATCAACCAAACCTAAAAGACAATCAATGTTAGCATGTTTTGTTGATTTGTGTATAATACCATCCTAGTTTAAGTCATCATAAACCCTACCTGTTGTTTTTGGGCTAATATAGATTACATTGAACTTTTAAGCCAAACAATATCTATCAAACAAAATTAGCCCAATTCACCATGTTTTGGAAGCACAATTACCTAACAATTTCTATCAAACAAAATTAAGCATATTTAGGTTCAGATTTTGCATCCTCGACATTAACCATATTACATTGACATATAGATTCAAATGTACTAGATTTTACATTCTTGCATGTAATAGAGCACTTTATCAAATCCCATGGTAAAACTGTTTTGGTCAAATTGACGCTTGAGGCCAAATTCACCATGTTTTGGAAGTACAATTACAAAAACCAAAGCAATACATAGAAGATGTTAATCCTAACATTCTAAAATTAATATAAACCAATGGAAATAGATGTGCAAAAGTTTATAACAGGTTCGATTGTTCAAGTAAGAGAAATATCATATGCTAAGATCAATTTTATTGGGAGATTTTTACTTCCAACACAGTCGACCCATACTTTCAGATTTCATTAACCCGATTCTAGATTTTTAGCAAAAAAAAAAAGTTCAGTTATATCAATAGTTTCATATTTCATTAATAATTTCAGAAACATAGCAAGAAAAATAATATTTCAGCTACAATGAAACCCTAGTCCGCAGATTTTAGTAGATTACAGAAACAAAAAAAATGAACCTGTTTTGAGGAGATCCTCTAGTGCCTCGGCGCCGGTGTTCAGGTGGCCCGTCGAGGTAGAAGCGGCTCAAGGAAGAAACAAACAGTGACACAGCTTGTTTGGAGCATCGACGATCATCTCAATTCATTAAAGATGAATTATGAAAGAAGATGCAATGCATAACCCCATCGATTGGACTTGTCCATTTGAAGTTCACAGTAGTTGCAGGTGATGGTGGCGGCGGCGTCTTCCTCAATCGATGGCGACAATGGCGAGTTAGACCGGTGAGGGTTTGCAACAAGGCGAAGCTTTGGCGAGCTGCCGATGACTGAGAAGACAGAAAATTTTGGGTGAGAGCGGTAACTGAGATCGATTGGCGGGTGGGGATAAATTTGGTCAAAAATTTTGGGGAACTTTGAAATCTAAAAAGTAGCCAATATCTTGGTGGAGTGAAGATTACGTTGGAAATTTCAAACTAAAGTTAAAATAGATGAAAAAAAAAATCATTTTTAAAATTCTAATTATTATTAATTTTTTATTATTATTGTTATATTTTTTATTACAATTTTATATATATATATATATATATATATATATATATATATATATATATATATATATATGTGTGTGTGTGTGTATGAATGTGTATTAGGGATGAAAGTGGGTCCAAACCCAGTTCGAATGAACCCAAACCTGAAAAACCTAGAATCGACCCCTATGTAAATGTGTGTGTGTGTATGAATGTGTATTAGGGATGAAAGTGGGTCCAAACCCAGTTCGAATGAACCCAAACCTGAAAAACCTAGAATCGACCCCTATGTAAATGTGAATTTATATGTGTATGTGTATTTGTATATAAGTGCATAGGTATATGTATGTATATGTGTATGTATATATTAGGGTTTGCCCCTACGTAGTGTACGCTCAGCGTACTCCCATGTATGCCCAACATACGTGGGTGCCTCCACGTCCATTGTTCAAGCCAGTATACTCAGCGTACTCATAGAGTACGCCCAGCGTACTCGGCTAGGGACCAATAATGAAAAGAATTTACAAATTAGGGTTAAAAGGAACATACCCCTAAATCGCGAATGTGAGTGTGGTTGAGATATATGGTTGTATGTATGGGTAAGTCAAAATGGATATATGGGTGTTGGTGGGGATATGATTATAAGTGTAAGTGGGGGTGCGGTGGGTGGATGTGGGGATTTAGGACATGGTAGGGTGGGGTAGGGTGTTGGTGTAGGTTTGTAGGTGGGGGTGCATGTTTGTGGTGGTAGGGGTGTGGTGGGGTGTGTAGTGTACGGGTAACACTTAGTGTTTAGGAGTGGTGTTGGGTGTAGGTGTAGGTGGTCGTACTTGAGTAGGTACGGGAAGATTGTGTAGGGGTGGGCGTGTGTAGGTATACATGTATGTAAATGTCGGTTTTGGTAGGTTTGGTTGGATATATGGATTAGTGATATGGTGGGTGTACATGTGGGTTCGTAGGTAGGGGTGGGTGGCTTATGGAATTATGGCTTGTGGCTTAGGAATTATGTCTTGTGGCTTAGGGCTTAAAGCTTATGACATATAGCTTAGGTATTATGACTTATGTCATATGCCATAAGTCATGAGTCTTAATCCATAATCCAAAAGTAACAATTATTAAGCTCTAAACTATAATCCATAAGTTATATGCCTTAAACCATAAGTCATAAGCCTTTTATTGATTATGGTTTAAGGCGTACATCTTATGGCTTATGGTTTGTGGCTTATGTCTCTAAGTGTAGGGATTACGACTTATGGTTAGCTTAAAGCTTAAGCCTTGTGTCTTATGGCTCACGGCTTAGGAGGGTTTATATGACTTAAGGCTTATGGTTTAAAATTAGCATTGGTTCTCAAACGATGACTTATGGTTACACCACCCCACACACACCCGACCCTACCCCTCACCCAAATGCTCACCCCAACCCTAACCCCACCCATCCATAATCCTATACCCTTAAAAACATAATTATATGCCTATTCCCATAAGCCCACATCGACGCTTAACCAACCCCACATCACCTCCACATCACACACCCATACAACGTACCCCACACCACCCCCTGCCATCTTTCCCACATACTCTACCCACATTCTAACCATACTTTTACACCTGTAATAGTCATCCATGCACTCACACCTATATACATTACTCTCTAATTAGGGTTTAGCTTTCATTATCGTATCCGAACTTCATGTTTGAGTTTATATATAGTTTGGTACCACCCATCCATCCAACTCTACCCCTACCAACACCATACGACCTACCTCGCCCCACATCCACACCTACACTCCCACGTCCACCCACCTTCACCTCATATAACCTACACCACCTACATACAAACATACATACCCCACACCAACCCGACCCATACCGTCATACCCACACCCATATGCTCACCCCAGCCACACCCCTCATTTACCCTACCCCATCAACCCTCACACCCATAAATACACAAAAACCCATACGCCAATTCCCATAAGCTAACACCCATGCCCACACCACCTCCACATTACACACCCTACGTCCACACTACCCCTACCACCTTCCCCATACCCATATCCACACTCATACCTACAACCACATGTATTACTTTGTAAATAATGTTTAACTTTCGTTGTCATATATGACCCTTTAAGTTTGAGTTTAAATATATTTTGAGTTTATTTAGTTATTGTTATATTTAAACGTGTTAAATGTTTTAGATATATTTAAAGTTTCACCACTAACCTACCCACTCTCTCGACGACCACAGACTCACACCAACCCCACCTCACTAGTCACCCCTATACCACCCCATCCCGACATCTACATCCACATTTACCCCTGTCCCCACCTCCTTATCAGATATCACTTATTTAATAACATAGGATATGTAAGTTTCATTTTGTATATTATTAAAAAATCAATATTGTGTTTAAAGAAAAACGCAATTAATCATACATTTTTATAAGAAATATGATATTTATTTTTGTGATAATAATATTATTTTTATAAAAGTTTAGAATGGTTGCTTTTATAAGTAATTTGATTTAAAAAAATATTAACATTAAAAATAACAATAAAAAATTAATTTTAGATATCATTAAATATATAGATATATATATATATATATATATAGATATATATATATATATATATATATATATAATCCTATAATTAAAAAACAATTGCAATTATTTTATTATAACCGCCTCACTTTTGCTATCCCTCCAAAAAAAAAAAAAAAAATTCATTATCTTTTAAAGGAAAACCTAACGCCACAAAACCCAAAACGGCGGCCACCATTTCCACTCGTTCGCTCATCGCTTCTTCGCTACTTTGCCGCCGACCACCGCCCAATGGTTTGCTCACCATCAAGTCTCTCACTAAAGCCTCTTACAACTAGCAAGATCATATACGTTGCAGTTCAGCACCATCTGATCACTCTACACGCCGCCTCTCAACACCAACATCAACCTATACACCGCCCATCGTTACCTTACATCGCCACCATCAACCATTACGTCACCTCTGACTACGACCATCACCATCTATACCGCCGAACGTCCTCGGTGTTTGTCCACATCCGCGACGATGACTAACATATATTATTTCTTCAATTTATCTGTTACGAGCCCTAATAGGTTTTATTGGTTGCATCCCAATCTGCTTAATTTGCTGCCTTTTTCTCGATCCTTTTCCCACACTATTCATCGATAACTACAAAAATCCTAAAAAATTCCAAGATTACGTTTAATAGAAGGTACAAAAGTTTCGATGATCTATTGTTCTTGAAGTTGAAGGCGTTGAATAGCCAAAAAAGTCAACTGAAATAGACCTAGGAATACAACTATTTCTATTTGGTTGCATCTGTTACCGATCACTTCGTTAATAAAAGAAGGTAAGTTTTTTCTTATCTAATGTCACTTTAATGCTAATTTATGCAAAATTTGTGATACGGCTTCCTGTTATATTGAACTACATTGATCATTTCAGCTAAACTTCTTAATTTTAAATACTTTAATCGCTAACATACAATTAGTTAAAACATGCATGATATCTTGAATCTTTTGTTCAACTGATTTAATGTGCTATTGCTAGCTACGAATTTTGAGAAAATAACCAACAAGCAAATCAAATGCTTGACCCGATGCAAGTCAATTGTACCAAATGTTTTGGGAATGATCAAATATTTGTTGAAAGTACAAGGCCACGTTGTAAGGTATACTCTTATACTCTTTATCAAAATTCCTTAATTGCATTATATATAAACTTAAGATTTACATATGCTACATAGGGAACAGTCTCCCTATAAGTCTATCATACATTTTTTATCACTTTTTTTATTGTTATAAGTATTTCATGCATATATTATCAGGTGTTTCAAAATGCTCTTGGAACAAGGTCTTGACTCTTGATCCTCCATATAGGTATGTGTCCTTCAATTATTATTCTTGAGGCTATTGTGAGCCTTAGGAAGGTCTTTAGATCACAAAAGAAGGAAGCCATGGTACAAGGATTTGATTGCTTATCATGGGAAAAAATTACTTCAATGGTAAGTATTGCTTATTTGTGGATTTGTTGGCAAATTGATCATAAATTGACTTTTATTTGTAGTTCCTTGTTACAAGCTTCAATGTAAATCAACTTTGAAGTTTAAGATTCATTCATTTCACATCTTGATTCAAAATACGAAGAAAAGAAAACAGGAGATAGGTTAAAGCAAACAAAGAGCAATGGTGTTAATAAAAAGATGTATAAGTTATCTTTCTTGGTTACAACTTTGCATATACTTCTCATATAAATTGTCCCTTTTTCCTTATATTTTATAGGGTACTATCACAATCAAAGAACCAACAGAGGAACCCTTGACACTAGTATGTCATCACTTCTCAAATTCGTTGTTGTTATATTTTTTTGTACTAATTTCTGATTTTTCATTCGGGACTTCACTTTTTTAGGCAATTGAAAAAACCACCAAAAAAATAGTTCAAACTAAGACTGCAACTGCAATTCCCGATACACCACCGCCTTCCCTGAAATCTGTAACACCTATATGTATTTACTTAACAATTTTCATTGTTTTTTAATTTATCTTTTATATTAAATCCTAATTTTCCATATATTACTTAAATATGTTCTTATGCGATTGCAAAAACCACCAAAAAAGATGTTTGGTTGAGACAATAACTTCAAAACTCAATGTTTTACAATAACTTCAAAACCCAAGTGTATGGATGAGACTAATTGATAATATTACCTTGCATTCCAACCAACATTTTTCACAATATTCATATTAATCAAATTTTAATGTAAATTTCATATTGTGGATTATACAAGCAACAAAGAATATACATTTATCATTGTTGTGTACACTAACCGTAGAGAACCAGCTTATTTATCATATCTTATTTCAATGTTGTTGGTATAGGTATCAAATATGAAATCACATGACGACAATGAACTTTAAAACTCAAAGATGCGCAAAACAACTTTTATATCGAGTGATAGCCTTCTCATGAAGACAAGGAACAATGCCAACAAAATGAAAGCATAGTTATATCTAGTTTTTGGTTTACGATTTTTTTGCTTTCTTTACCATATTTTTAGACATGTTATTAGTATAATTTTTTTTTTCTATTTTAGTTATGGATCTTATGTACGAATTTGCATTTCAGTTATTAATAATATCAATTTCTTTTTTGGATTCATATTTTAGGTTTATGGTTACTTTCATCTCTATTGTTTTGATGTGTCTGAATGTCACTGAATGTAAAAGAGTTATCACACATCAAAATTTTCATGTGTCTATAATATAAATTTGGCTATGTTTGAAAGTTTTTTTAAATGCCTCTAAAATTATATAATGGCCACTTTGTATCACACTCAACATTGTTTATGTGTCTAAATGATAAAATAGGTTATACTAATAACCAATTTTTGTAGTATTAAATTGAGTATTTGTCACAATTACAAACACTATTGTGTCTATAAATAAATTATGGTTATTTTTTAATTTGATTTTCTATGTCGAAAGGATATAAAATAGTCATAGTTATGACTTTTTATATGTTTGAATGATAGCATCGGTCATGATAAGCAATACAAATATGGCGGTAAACTAATCTTAAATCCATAATTTTAATAAAATGTGTGTCTTTATAATACTTATGATCATGTTTCACTTAATTTTGTGTCTCTATACGATAGACAATAATCACAATAAAAGATTGTTTTTGTGACTAATTATTAGCAAATCACCACTCTTGAAATTAATTACATGTGACCATTTAGTGAACATGGTCATGTTCACCGTAATTGCATGTTTGTAAAAGATACCGAATAGTCTTAATAAACTTTGAATTGTGTGACAAATTACTAGCTAAACGTCACATTGAAACAACATGTATGTCACCATTTGGTGATATGTAGTTACTACAATTACTAAATAAATGTGTCTATTGACTGTTTAACGCCACAATATCGGATAAAATGATTAATTTTAGGAACAAAATTCCCTACCCAATTGCCACACTTTTATAATACGGCCACATGTTTTCATATCATACGGACACTACATTTTAAAGTGACCATAAGACCCATACGATGACGTCACCTTCCGTCACACTTTCAGTGAAAAAATAATGTCACTATACGCATATGGTTACACTTTTTTGGTGTGAATGTAAGTTATTTTTCTTGTAGTGTCATAGAACTCATATTGCATAGTTGACTTCATCTGGAATGGCGCATAAACAAAATTATGTCAACATGATAGGTCGCCAACCTCAAGTCGTGTGCTAGTGATTAACTATCGGTTTATTCTTGATTTGTTCTTGAAACTTTTCAAGACAATTGAGACTCCCACTGACCTCTTGACATATATGATTCTCTTGTCAGGAACCTTTTGTTGGATTAGTGTCTAAGTCCGTAATTATATTTGGTATGTACTTGACCCGATTGTGCATGATCCTTTTGGGTTGCCTTCACCAAAGCAACTTGATAAGGTAATTTACAATATTTTTCTAATAAATGTTTTATGAATTAATTAATCAAAAATGAAATTTTTGGGCTTGAATTTTGGGATGTTACAACTGTAGCTGCTCCTGTGTTGGCAATTGGCCAAGGAAAGGGTAAAAAGAGGAAGGCTCCTTCTAAGAGCCACGTAAGGGTAAGACCCAAGATGGTTCCTCTTCTAGTGAGACCAAAGCAGGTTCTGTTAAACCCTCTTCTGACCCCAAGGAAGCAGAGTGCTTCTATTGCCACCAGAAGGGCCACTGGAAACGAAGCTGCCCTAAATATCTGCAAGATATTAAGGATGGGAAGATAAAGCCCACATTTGCAGGTATGTATTCAATTAAATCTAATAACTCATCACTTGATACTTCATGGGTCCTTGATACTGGATGTGGTTTCCACATTTGTTCTGATTTGCAGGGGCTAAGAGAAAGTAGGGAAGTGGAGCATGGAAGAATAAACTTGGTCATGGGAAACAAGAAGTCATCACCAGTAACCAAGATCGGAGTTTATTCTTTAGTGTTGAGTAATGGGTTAGGACTAGATTTAAATAATTGTTGCTATTCGCCAGATATGGCAAGGAACACCATTTCTTTTCATGGATTATATAGACTAGGTTTCAAATATTCATTTGATAATAGCAATGGTTCTATTAATGTTTATTTGAATGGTGTTTTTTATTTCAATGCATTACCTTGTAATGGGATTTATGAATCTGTGTTGATTATAGACAATTTAGGAAATGATGTCTTTAATATTGATTTGTCCAATAGTTTGGACAAAGCATGCCTGTGGCATTGTCGCCTTGGCCATGTTAACAAGAAACGCATAGCCCAACTCCAAAAGGATGGAGTCTTGGAGTCATTCGACCTTAGGGACGATGACGTGTGTGAATCTTGTTTACTTGGGAAGATGACAAAGTCACCCTTTACTGGCACATGTGAAAGGGGTGAGGGTGTATTGGATCTCATACATACTGATGTATGTGGACCCTTTTTAGATCCACCACAAGGGACGCTTGTCGCTTCTACGTGACTTTTACAGACGATTATAGCAGATATGGATATATCTACTTAATCAAGCAAAAGTCATAAACCTTTGAAAAGTTCAAAGAGTTTAAGAATGAAGTAGAGAATCAGCTGGGCAGGAAAATCAAGATGCTTCGATCTGATCGAGGAGGAGAGTACCTAAGTCTTGAGTTTCACGACTATCTAAAAGAATGCGGAATAGTTTCGCAACTGACGCCTCCTAGAACGCCACATTTGAATGGTGTGGCTGAGAGACGTAATCGAACCTTGTTGGACATGGTTCGTTCAATGATGAGTCGTGCTTCATTATCAATCTCATTCTGGGGGTATGCCTTAGAGACTGCCACGCATATCCTTAACTTAGTTCCCACCAAGAAGGTTGCCAAAACACCTCACGAGATGTGGACAGGGAAAGCTCCCTCGTTAGCACATATCAAGGTTTGGGGTTGTGAAGCTTTCGTAAGACGAGAGACTCACGACAAGCTAGAACCTCGTAGTAAGAAGTGTTATTTCATCGGCTATCCACAGAAGTCTTTTGGCTATCTCTTCTATAGATCAAGTGACAATGTTGTCTTTGTTGCTAGGAGAGGGGTTTTCAGAAAGAGAGAACTCATAAGTCAAGGAGACAGTGGGAGTCAGATTGACCTTGAAGAGCTTCAAGAGTCAAGAGATGAAGGAACCTCTGACACTGGCGTTCAACCTGAGGAGGAAACTCCTGTTGAACCAATTGACCAGTCCTTACCTCTTAGACGTTCGAGTAGAGTTAGTGTTCCACCCCAGTTTTATGGTTTCCATATTACTACTGACGGGGATACGTTTATTAGTGATAGTACACTAATAAATCTGGATGAACCTAATAGCTACAAGGAAGCCATGGCAGGCCCGGAATCTGCTAAATGGAAAGAGGCAATGGACAACGAGATTCAGTCCATGTATGACAACCAAGTTTGGAATTTGGTTGATAATGTACCCGGTCGTAAGACAGTCGGGTGCAAGTGGATCTTCAAGAAGAAGACAGACATGGATGGGAAAGTGCACACTTATAAAGCACGATTGGTCGCGAAGGGCTTTACTCAAACTCATGGAGTTGACTATGATGAGACCTTCTCGCCAGTTGCCAAGATAAAGTCTATTAGGGTAATGCTCGCAATAGTTGCGTTTCATGATTATGACATCTGGCAGATGGACGTAAAAACCGCTTTCCTAAATGGGAAGTTGGCTGAGGATGTTTACATGAATCAGCCAGAGGGTTTTGTCGATGCGAAGCAGCCAAGTAGAGTGTGCAAGCTTGAGAAATCCATTTATGGATTGAAGCAAGCATCTCGCAGATGGAATCTTTGTTTTGACGAGAAGGTCAAAGAGTTTGCTTTTCTGCGAAGCGAAGATGAGTCATGTGTGTATGTCAAGGCCAGTGGGAGTATAGTAAGCTTCCTCGTATTGTATGTAGATGGCATACTACTCAAAGGAAACGACGTCCCAACCTTGCAGGAGGTCAAGTCTTGGCTTGGGAAGTGTTTCGCTATGAAGGATCTCGGAGAGGCTGCATATATTCTGGGAATAAGGATAGTGAGAAACAGAAGTAAGAGACTGATAGGACTCAGTCAGGATACATACTTGGAAAAGGTACTAAAGCGTTTTAGTATGGAGAATTCCAAGAAAGGGGAGTTACCAATTCAATGTAATACCAAACTGAGTAAGACTCAGAGCCCGAGTACAGAGGCGGAGATAGCTGATATGAGCCGAGTACCTTACGCTTCCGCAGTTGGCTCGATTATGTATGCTATGACCTGTACTCGCCCTGATGTGGCCTTCGCTTTGAGCATGGTCAGCAGATATCAAGGGAACCCTGGTAAAGCACATTGGATTGCTGTCAAGAATATTCTTAAGTACCTACGAAAGACCAAGGAATGGTTTCTAGTCCTCGGTGGGAGTGATGACTTAAGGGTACGAGGGTACAGTGACGCTAGTTTTCAGACGGATCGTGATAATTACCGATCGCATTCAGGTTGGGTCTTTACCCTGAACGGAGGAGCAGTGACTTGGAAAAGTTCCAAGAAAGAGACCGTAGCTGATTCAACGTGCGAATCAGAGTACATTGCGGCAAGCGAGGCGTCAAAGGAGGCTATATGGCTGAAGAACTTCATTGGAGACCTTGGAGTTGTGCCATCCATAAAGGAGCCCATGGAAATTTTCTGTGATAATGAAGGAGCGGTTGCCTTAACCAAGGAACCAAGGGATCATGGCAGATCTCGACATATCGACAGGATAAACCATTTTATTAGACATCGGGTAGAAGAGGGACTCCTCATTGTGAAGAGGGTATCGTCGGAAGATAACCCAGCAGATCCCCTTACGAAGGGACTGAGTAGGGTCAAGCATTTGCAACATGCTAGGAGCGTTGGGCTAAAGGACGATACTAGTTTAGATTAGATAGGTAGGAAACTTGTAATGGATAATTTTGTATTCAACATTTGATGATTAAATAAAGGTGTGTTATTTATAAGAAAGGTTACTATCTTGTGTTGATTATTTATCTATTGTTTCGATTTTGCATGTTTTGACTTCCTGAATAATAAGATTATTCGAACGGTCCACAATCGCTCATATGTTGGAAGTAGATATGAAA